TAATTCCTTAATCTTTAGTAAAAGATATCTATTTTTAATTATAATTTTGTTAAGTACCCTATAATCAATATAGAATCTAAGTATGCTTTCTTTTTTATATACAAATAAAATAAATATACTAAAAAAAAATACAGAAGATCAAATAAAATATTTTTATAATAATTTAGATAGTTATTTTTAAAGCTTATTTATTTCTAAATATAAAAATAATAGGTTGGTTAAGAAGGTAGTTCAGATCTAGAAATGAGTTCAATAGAATGATCAACTGTTCTTTTTAATAATAAGTTATTAAATAAGGTAGAAGGAAATATATTCTGAAATTTCTTAATCAAAAATTCAATTTTCTGAAGTATAAATATAATTTTATTATGCAGAGAATAGATCCACAGGTGAACCAGCTAGCTTAAGCAGTTGGTCATAGTAGTGACATTAGTTTGAGATGGGGGGAAGAGTTAATGATCAGAGTGTTTAAATAGGTAACTTACAGGCAGGTTGCAGGTATGATAGCATAGTATAGAACCAACAGATAGTCAATTGTTTGTATAGCAGACTACTAAATTAGATAATAACTAAAGTTATACATATAGCTTGTTGTATACTCATCATATAACTGTAAAACCTTAGGAAACTATTCATGTGATAGTTCCATAATAACAAACTAATAAAATCTAATCAGCTAAGAAAGTCACCTTAATAACAAAAAAAAAATAAATATAATTTTATTATCTGATATTGTAAGATTATAAATTGCAAAGAGTTTATCAGTATTTATTACTTTAACAAGTTTGTTAATTAGATATAAAAATAGATATACAAGTAGTATGAAGTTGTTAAAGTTCAAAATTAGTTTTAATATAAGTAGTAAAAGTTCTGTAGTAAAAATTTTTAGATATATTCCTCTAATTAATAGTTAGATTAGTATAGAATAACTATAGTTTGCCTAGAATAACATTATATTATTATAAGTTAAAAGCTTGAGTCATAATTTCAAATATAGTATATTTTTTAATTTGTAGTTTGTTTATATTAACTATATAGTTAATTTTCTTTTTAAATTTATCAGTGAGTTTAATAGAAAATAGTTTAATTTTTTAAGTTGTTAGCTTATATTGTTTAATAGATTTTTTATTAATAAAATTTCTAAATGCTTTACTATCTAATAGTATCTAAGCAGATTTTTTATTAACTTTATCTTTGAATTTAAAGAGTTGTTTCTTATTATTCTCTAAATAGATAAATTAAATATTATCATTATTATATATTTGTTCTTGATATTAGCAATTTTTATAATCTTAATAAATAATATTTTTTAACTCTATTTAAATAAATTTGTTATTGTATACTTAAATAATATTTTAGTTTATAGTAAAACAAAGGAAGAATATTTAAAACATATTTATATTATTTTAGAAACTTTAAAAAAACACTAACTATATGCCAAATTATCAAAATATGAATTCATTAAATAATATATTGAATATACTAGATATTTTATCTTTGAATTAGCCTATATCTACTTATATATCTAAACTAAAGTTTTTTCTTGGTCTTACTAACTATTATAAAAAATTTGTTAAAGGATTTTCTATTATTATTTCACTTTTTATAGTTTTACTTCATAAAGATCAATTATATAAATAAAAAAATTTAAAGGAAAAATCTTTTAACAAGTTTAAAAATTTTCTAACTACTGTATCTATTTTATTATTATCTGATTCTACTAAACAATTTACAGTTACTACTAATACTTATAACTTTGCAATTAGAACTATATTATCTTAGAATTAAGAAAAAAATAACAACCTGTAGTATATGAATTTGGAAAATTAATCTTTACTAAACAAAACTATCCTATTCATAAAAAGAAATTACTTGCTATTGTATATACAATTAATCTTTAAAGACTATACTTAGAAAGATAATATTTTATTGTAATTACTAATTATCTATCTTTAGAATATATTAAAATACAATATAATATATTATATTAACAAGCTTATTAGCTTAAAATCTTATAAACAAATAACTTTAAAGTTCAATACAAATTTGATAAAACAAATATTATAGCTGATATATTATCTTGTCAGCTTTATCTTGCAAATATTACAATATTTTTTACTTAACTGAATAATAATATAAAAGAAAAATATTAAAAAGATTCTTATTTTTCTGAAGTTTAGAAATCTTTAACTAATTCTACTATTATACTTAAAAAGTAACTCATATGATCTTATAATTTTGAATTAAAGAATAATAAAATTTATATTAAAGAAACAACTAGGCTAGCTATTTCTAATAACAAGGAACTTAGAAAACAAATCTTAATAAAATATTATAATATTAGTATCTCCAAACATATTAGTATTAATAAAACCTATAAAAATATCTTTTAAAACTTCTATTAGCCTAAATTATCTAAAGATATAAAAAGGTATATCTTATATTGTAATTTATAACAAAAGAATAAAGAATATAATTAACAACCTGCTAGACTTCTACAACTCTTAAAAATTCCAAAACACTGCTAAAAACAAATAGTTATAGACTTCATAGTACAACTATTTCTAATATATCAAAGAAATAATACTATTATCGTCTTTACTTACTATCTAACTAAATAAGCTTATTTTAAGTTATGCATACTACTACAACTATATTTAAAGTTGCTAAAATGTTCTTTAATACTATCTTTAAGAATTATAAAATTCTTAAAGTAATTATATTTGATCATAATGCCAAATTTATAAGTCATTTCTTAAAAAGTCTCTTAACTACTAATAAGAAAGAAAAATATCTATCAAATCTGATAAAAAGTTTAATATTTAACTTCTCTTTAATAAAGGTCTGGTAATCTAATATAGTAAATAGGTTGTTAGACTACTATACAATAGGTTTGAAGTTCAAATCTTACTGTTGACAATTTGAATAATTTCTCAAACCTTATATCTAACTTACAGTAAACTCTGTTTATTTTTAGAAGTTGTAACTCTATAAATCATAATATATCAATATTAATTAGACATTGAAAGTATAACAGAATATTGGAGTTGCATTATATAAATAAATTGAAATAGAATTTATGAGCAGAGAATCTGTATAGTAGAAATTTCAAGTTAGATAAAGTAATACAGATTGTAATAGTTACTCAATTAATGCTTAATCTAATAAAGATTTCTGAATATGAAGATATAGATTAAGTAGGTATGAGTAAATTTATAATATTGAATATTATAGCAATACTAATTTGGCTTAGCAGCTAACTAAATTAGAAGAATTTGTTTTGTGAAATATTCAGAAGGACATAGAAGTCTAATCTGATAAAAGGCTATAGCTAGAACTGAGTTCATAAAAATATTGAATAAGAGTATATGTAAGCTATATTAGAATATAACATGACATAGTTAGGTATCATAACACCTATCTATTAGAAGGTATTAAAGTAGAACTTATCTGAATAAGACCTAAGCTTATAATAATAAAGTTTGTAGCATATGTTAGCTTGAGTATCTCCTAAAGTAGAATAACATGAAGTTATAGTTAACTTTAAGAGTAATACTTGCAGTAAGTAAGATAAGATTAAAGAGTTTAAATAAGAAATCTTCTAAAAGATTTTAAGTATAGTAGCTAGTGTAGAACCTTTGAGCAGACTACTTAAATTAGACAACTTAAAATTGAATATGTGACTAGTTGTACTCTCACAATATGTATCATATTCTGAAATTTATGAAATTAATAAAAATTAAGCTAATAGCATTTGTATAAAATAAAATAAAATAAAAAAAAAAAAAAAACTTCTCTTTAATATACCAAAATCTATCTTCTTAGAAGTTTATAATATTCTATCAAAAAACTCCTTCAAACACTTTAATGAATAGTTCAAAAACTTCTTTTCCATCAATTTGCTGAATCTCTAAACCAACAAAAAGTCTACAATGCTCTAAAGGATAGGATTAACTGGGTTTGCTTCTTATACTATATTATTGCAAATTATAGCTAATAAATGCAGATTTCTTCACAATGGATACTGAGCATTGTTACTATTGTAGATTCGGAGAGCAGGTAACGTTGCACGGTTTAGCTCCAATAGTTAACATGGTTTGAACGTGGGAGTAAAGGAAAGATCATTCTTTTATGTCACTTTATCAAGAATGACGTTAGCACCTATTCTTTATTAAATGAGACAGCCTGTGCTTTTATACATTTTACGATCTTAAGAGACCTGACCTGTTAAAGGCTTCGTGCTACTTTAGCCTCACACAAGACTAAAACTCTAACAGCATATAATGTGGTCTTCGGCCATATCATATGTACAGTATCCGCTGTTAATAATCAGTTATCGTAACAACATAACCAAAAACAAGTACAGTACATGTCAATTATTATAACGATTAATCGTAGATTAACTCCAATTTAATTGATTTTTACGGTATTAAAAATAGAGTACCGACAAGGCTTATATTTGAGCAAATCCAAATCAAGTACAAAAAAAGGAAAATCAGCGCTGCTATATAAAATAAATCTAGTGAAAGCTTGAATAAAACAAGTAAAAACGGGGTTGACACACATAACAAGGTCTTATTATTGAATCCAGTTTGTTCTAAAAAGGTATTTTAAACACATGCACAAATACAGAAATAACGAGAAACGATCATCCAATCAGATGCTTAAATCCGCGACTCCACCTGGTAATTATAAACTTTTCACTCTGTTTTTTGTTAAATTAACAAGACTTATTTTTTAAATGCACAATATAGCGACTAAATCCTATGATTTATTTAGTTTAATTAATATTTGAACATTGTCCATAAGAGACTATTCTCTTAACATAAATTATTCTGTCTATTTCTAGCAAATTTATTTAATCTACAAATTCTTTATCGAATCACCAAATAATGCATTCCCCCCCCAAAAAAATACAATAGTTATAATCATAACCAATTAATCATCTAAAGTTAACGTATTACAACCGAGACTAATAATTTAATTATGTAAAGATCATATTATTCAATACTTAATTTTTTCATACCGTTATCAACTAATTTCACCCATTCATTAATAGCATTCTCATCTACATTAAAACATTCTATTTCTTTATAAAATTCCATATCCATGATTGAAAATAATTTATCCCAATACCCTAATTCAGATAATCTTTTGGGAGAAGATTTTTCGATAAACCAATCATGAGCTCTCAACCTTTGTTGTTTTTTAGGTAAAATGACGGTATTAGATGATAATATAGAGTTGGTATTCGATAAAGATTTTGAGACAGAAGGAGATGATTGAGTAGATGATAAAAGATCAATTAATCTTAATTCTAATAACAATAATTCTAAAAAATTTGATACAGTGTCTATCTGTGCTGATTCTTTGATATTATCTTTTTGAATGTATTCTTTAACGATTATATCTTTTTTTGAAATAATTTTACCACTTTGACTACTTCTATTAGTATTATTTCTATTTAAATTAGCATCAGTTTCTTTTGAAGTCTAAAAAGTAACAAATAATATTATAAATTTGTAATAAAAAATTTAATAAAATTTAATCTATATGATTTATATCATACTGATTGTTTAGGATCTAAGAACTTTTCAAACCGTTCAGCACGTTTTTTACGTCGTTCTAATTCCTCGGCATCAACAGAAATTAAACTTGTTCGTTGTGAAAAAGTTTCATTGTTGTTGTGTAAGTCATTATTAGTACTCCTGCTTATAGCTCTACCTATAACGTAGTTAAATTGCTGATGTAGACGGAATGATTGAATTTAATTCATCTTTTATGTTAAAACAAACCTCGATTTCTTCCTCCTCGACCTCTGGAGATGCCGTTTCGCTGATTAGTATTATTAGAATATTTACGAGTCATTTACTTATTAAAACTAAACGGAAAGTGTTTTTTTTTTGTGCAATTCGTATACAAATAAGTATGTACTCTATATAGTTAATGAAACGTTGCATGAAGTGATTTGTAATCATGTGTCACTACTGTAAAGAGTAACATACCTGATCAATAACAGGTCCCAGACCAGTGACGTAATAACTGGTTACGTATATAATTTATCTGTTATTGTATAAGATCTTCTCTAAAAATAAAAAAAAAACGTAATGTTGAACTACTTTTTATTTACAAAAGTTTAGTTGTATTCACCAAACTAGGATCTTTCAAGCCACGGTCAATATGTACATAGTAATAGGCTTATACATTCTGATCCATGACAGTTTCAATGATCTAACTCTAATTACTTGTAAAGGCTTAGCGTTAGCTTTGCTAAAATGGGACAAGAATAGAAATATACCTTATGCGGATAATTATATCATTCTCCTGAGATTCGTAAAAATGATATCATATATGAATTATGATATTTATTAAAAATTTTTTATATAGTGGCAATATTATAATTTTATCTTATAGACATTAATAGTTATCTTTTTTTTAACAGTTCTACAAGTGATCCTAACCCGAAGGTGAATTGGTTGACAAAATTTTATATTAAAGAATTTTTATTCATAATAAAAAAAACGATTATTATAAAACGTTGTAATTTAAAATATATTATTTGTAAAATTATATTTAGTAAAAAAAAAAAAAAAAACAGTTTCTGCGAGTCCCGACAGGTCTAAATTTCGCCAACATAATCCTGAAAGATCATTATCTCGAGAGACTGATAGTCTGAAAAAAAATATATCCTGATAATTTATAATACCGAAACATGAAATCCCGACAGTCAATACTCCTTAAACAATCCAAGTTGTGATATATAGAGATTAGCTTTAGAGTTAGAGTTAAGGAATTTTGTTTCGGGAATAGCCAAGCTATTTAGCGATTTTGTATATTTATCCCTATATCTACTAGTTCTTCACGTATAATTGATTACAATTAATTAATCCTATACTCTGAAATTCATATATTCCTCAAATTATGTAATCTGGAATTTTATATTGATTAATATAAAAATAATGGAAATTATATTTTCACCCGATAGACTATAATAACGTTCGCGTGACTAAAATTAATAGTATTAGTAGGCTCTAACAAAAAAATTCATTGTAAAATTTTGCCATATACTAATGCTTAGATAAAATCCCAGGCCTCATCCTAACCCTAAAGTAAATGAAAAGTTATTTAATATTTCGGGTGACTTTAACCCGGGTGAAAATAGAAATTCCGTAAAAATAATATTATATCATTTATTCAATTATTTCTTTCAATAAACTTCAATTACAGTATATTAATCTTTTCATTTTTTTCAATTATAACACTCATAACTTTATAGATAATGTAAATCCTATACTAACTTAACCATATTATGAGACTTTTCTTTACTCATTAAAGAATACATTTAACATAAAAGATTTTGTAAATTAATTAAAAAACCTCAAATTGTTTTTTCTCTTTTAATAAACATGAAGGCAGTCTCAATAAATTATTAATAAGGTATTAGTACAAACTAAAATGCTACGTAATTTACAGACACTTACTTTGTTGATACACTTTGATAAAAACATGCATGTAAATGAAAGACAGTTAAAATCCCGACAAAAAAAAATCTCAACCCCAACAAAAAATCCCGAAAATCAGGATTAAGGTTAGGAAGGTGTTTTATGTTTTTTAATTTTGTTTTCGAGATATCTTAAAACCGAATAAAATTTAGTTATTGAGATATTTTTACTTAAATTCTTGAAAATTTAAATTCTAGGGGTATAAATAATGATGAGCTGCGCACAATATTATACACACCTACTGTATGCTAAAATTTTGGCCGGTCATCTGAAGTTTGTTGCATGAAGAACTTTTTGGGTCTTAGTATGCTAATATGTAAACGACAGTATTAAAGTAGGTCAACTTTAAATGTAATTTTGGCAGGAATTAAAGCAAAATTTTTTAATATCTGATATGAGGTAGACAATGAATAAACCTAAATACGAGTGAAGATGGCAAACTTTTTGTATGAGCAGTTTGTAAATATTCTGAAAAATACAACAGCCCTGACTATGCATACTATGTGAACTGTATTAGGACTAATTGATCAAAACTATATTGATCAATTTATTATATTCGATTTTTTTCAGCAAAATTAAATGATGAATTTTACTATATTTTTAATCTGTTAAAAATTTACAATATATTAAATAATATTGTTTGCTAACATAGTTTTGATTAATTAATCTAGTATTGTGCACTAGAAAATCTGTTTCATTTAAACGGTACAATCACTAGGTATCTAACTCTAGTATGAATAATTCATAATATACGTATCAAGAAATAAAATTTAGGATTTTATACGTATTACGTATAAGTATATCAAAAAAGTAAGTTTTGCATCATTGTATGAGATTTGTCATACTATGCATGTGTACTTCATTAGCGTTAGTACATATGATCACAAACCAATAAAAAGGGAATGCCGATACATGGTAAATTTAATGAATTGATTCCTTTTCATTTTTTATTTTTTAGAAAAATGTCTCAATCAAATAAGACTTTAAAGCGTACATTATCAAATATTACTGATTATCCACAAAAAAGAACAAAAGTTGATACAAAAAATTTAAAACAATTTTCGGTTCACCCGTTAGCAAGATTTAATGGACCTTGCACAACTTTTAAACAACCAGTTGAAATTATGAGTTTTAGTTATGATAATGAACGTAAATTACATATGGATGATAGAGAATTGGTAGTATTCAAATTATAAATTTTGTTAATTTATTTTAAATATCAATTATATTTTTGATATTTTTTTTTTTTAAGAAATATTATTATCCTCCTGATCTAAAAGATTGTGATTTATCTCATGGGTACGAAACATTTGTACAAAGAGAGCAAAGTGGACCGGAACCTATACATTCTCTATTAGATTCATTGGATAATATTCAAAAAAAATATGCTGACAAGAACTTAATAAAAGCTGATTTAGTAAGTTATTTTATTATGATTATAATTGTAGTCATAATTAACATTTTATAATCGATAATAATTCATTTATTTAGATCACTTGGCGTGGAGTTTTTACAAAAATCTTATGCACTCCATATAATAGGAATGAACCTTGGGAATTAGGTGCCACTTTATGGAATGTATGCATAAATTTAATAGATTAATTAAAGATTTTATTTTAGAATTAATTATTTTATACTTTTTCACGATGATATAGAATACAATGTAAGTTATAATACTTTTAGATAATTAAAAGTTGAATCAAGATTAATATTAACAAATTATTAAAAATTAAAATTATTTATATATTTTAGTTTTATAGAAGAACATGATACAGAATATACAAAGGAACATTCAACTGGGACTACACCAAGACAAAAATTAATGAGTTATTGGGGATATAAATTTGAAAATCTAAGCACAATTACCAAATTACCATCTGAAATTATTTCTTCAGATGATCCCGAATTAATTAATCGAAAAACTACAATAGTAAATACAAATGTGCAATATTGTTCAGTAGCTAAAACATCATTAGGAAATAATAAACTAATTATGGGTGCTGAAATTGATTGTCTTTGTGGTAAGTAATCGACTTATCATAATAACATTAATACATCAAATATTTTTTCTAAATTTTTGTCTTTATTTATAATTGTTAAAGATGTCAAACCAGAAAAGCCAGCTAATCCTGTAGAAAAATATATTGAATTGAAAACTTCCAAAGTTATTGAAAATGAAAAAGACACATTTAATTTTGAAAGGTAAACAAATTTTTTATACAACCATAAGTTTAATATATTTAGAGAAAAAAAAAATCAATTTCACATATATTTTGTTTGCAAAGATATAAACTTATAAAGTTTTGGGCTCAATCATTTCTGATCGGTGTTCCAAAGATAATTGTTGGATTTCGTGATGATAAAGGTCGTGTTATGAATGTTCAAGAATTTAAAACTATGGAAATTCCTAGAATAGTCAAGGGAAAAAATGGGATGTGGGTATGTATAAAAAAAAAAAAAAAGGTTGTTTTTGAAAAATTTTTCGAAATTTCTAATTTAAATTATTATTAACAGAATGCGACTGTCTGTTTAAACTTTGCAAATGAATTCTTTGAGTGGTTAAGAACAGTAATTGTTATTGATGATCCTAATTCATCTTACACTATATCTTTTCAATCTCCATTTAAAGACATTAAAGTAGAATTCGTAGGTAAAAAGAACTCTGTGTTGGCTGAAAGACATATAGAGTCTTTAAAATTTGTATAATGAAAAATGGACAATTTAAAAATTTACATTTATAGAAAGTTGTTTGTTTTACGAAATAATTACTTTTAGTCTATTGTAATTTTCATTTTCATTGGTTTTTTTTTTTTTTTTTTTTTTTTTTTTTTTTTTTTTTTTAATAAATGTTTTTTTTTTAAAATTTAAATTTATTTAATTTTTTTTTTTTTTTTTTTTTTTGTTTTTTTATTTTATTTTTTCTTTTTATGTTTTTTT